GGCACGACGGGGGTCGGAGAGAACAAACGGCGGGCGGTCGATAGTTTTCAATTTGCCGCGCACTTGCAAGCCGGAGGATGAATGAGTGACGCGGCGGCGCCCATGGTTCCCAAACGCTCGGGCCCGGTTGGTCGGCGCCTCCCGGTGGCGCGGACTGTCATGAGCTAGGTGGGTGAAGCGGCCCGAGTCCCGAGCTCGAAGGTGGCCAAGAACTACGGAAGGATTTCCAAATTGTTGAAGCGAGAGAATCCCGTAGTGAGAGGATGGATTTCCACATTGGCGAATCCGTGCGATGAGCCGTGGTGTCCCAAACGCAAGTGTCGCGTAAGTAGAAATGGTGAATCCATTGAATCCAAATAGAGTCGGCTTTGCGGTGGATGTTCCAAAGTCTGGTGAGCAAGGAAGCGAGGAGTTGAGGATTCGAAAATCACGAAGGCCGAGGCCGCGCTTCCTCCTTGGGGCGGCGGAGCGGACGCCATGGAACTAGGGGCTGAGTGGCTTCGTGAATATCACCGGTCCATAAGAAATTTCGGCAAACAACGATCACTCGGGTCATAACCGGAGCGGGGATCGGGAAGATGCGAGCCGGAGCCGAATAATCCACGAGAGAACGGATTTCGGGAGCTGCTAGGCGACCGGCGTACGAGAGATGTTTCCCAAGCCACGGCCGAATGGTGCCCTGCAGGCTCTGGAGCGGCGGAAGGCGGGCGGCGGCGGCCGATGCGGGGCGAGGGAACCCCGAGGTAACGAAAGGGAAAAGTACCCTCGGCAAAGCCGGTAGCTTGGAGTAGAGCAAGCTTGTGGCGGTCACGAACCCCTCCAAAATAAATGGAGGATTTGGCGGGTTGATAGAGAGGCCGAGGTGCGGCGAAATCATGCGGCACTCGAGCCAAACAAAGAGCCGAGGCCTTGTCTCCACGGCTTAGAAGCATAACATCATCTGCAAAGGCTAGGTGTGTAATGCGGTGAGGCTCACACTTAGGATGGAAGCGAGAAATCGGCGGAAGGCTGAAGCACTGTAAGAGCATCGAGAAAAATATTCCATGCACACAAGAAATAGGTAGGGAGAGAGGGGTCACCTTGACGCACCCCGGCTTGACCACGGAAAAACCCAAAGAGGTTGCCATTGATGGCGATGGAGTAAGAGGGGGATTCAACACAAGTCATCACCCGATTGGTGAAAAGAGGAGGGAAGCCCGAAGCTCCGGCGGACGACGCAAAAGGGCCAGCGAACGAGTCGAAAGCTTTTCGGAAATCTACCTTTAGGAGGCACCGGGGAAGCGCGCTTGCGCCCATGCTGTCTAAGAAGTTCTTGGAGCGGATGTATGTTGTCGGTCATCGACGGCCCCCCGAAGGCGCTTTGCGAGAGGGCTAACGATAGTCGGCGGTGCCGAGCTAGGCGAGAGGAAAGGATCTTTGAAATCACCTTGTAAATGACATTGCGGCAAGAAATCGGACGAAAATCGGATGGAGAAGGAGAATGGGCTGATTTGGGAACCAATGCGATAATCAGAGTGATTAATGCTATTTAAGGAGGTGACTCGATTGGAAGAAGTCGGTGATCGCCGCGCAAAAATCGGACCGACAATACCCCGAGCGCGTTTGAAGAACGGCGATGTATACCCATCGGAGCCCGGGGGCTTTGTCGTTGCCGATACTAAACAAAGTCTCCTTTATCGGATCGTTGGTAATGGGCGCAAGCAATAGTTCGGAGGTTGAAGGGGCGGCCAGGGGACCCATAGCAACAGCCAGAGCTAACGGGGGAGTAGTGTCTCTTGTAGACCCAAACAAGCTGCGGAAGTAAGCAACAAAAGCGACCCCTACTTCGGACGGCGAAGAAGTAACTTCCCCTGTTGGGGTTTGAACGGAGGCGATAAAGTTGCGCTTGTGCCGGTGCCGCATGAGAGTATGAAAGAACTTGCTTGCCCTTATCACTCTCCTCGAGAAACTTACATTTGAGCTTCGGCTAAAAAACATTTTCTCGCCAACTTTAGACGAGCCAAGGTCGCCGCGAAAGGTTCTCACGCTCCGGAAGAGAGGGATTGTCCCGATCGGCATGGAGAGCACTGCTGGAGATTATCAAGATCGGCGGTAGCCGAGAGACCCGCTCCGATATATGGTCGAAATGAGCCGAGTTGAGAAGCTTGAGCGGCCGTTTCGGATTCTTAAGCTTGCGACGGAGAGCGGATACATAGGGCTGCCACCCTCGGAACATTGCCAAAACCGCTCAAGCTGTCGAGAGGAAGTTGTCATGCGGCACCCACATATTGAAAAACTTAAAGCATGTGCGACCGGAGGAAGGCGGGCTGGTCGAGAGTAACCGAGCACGAGCATGATCGGAGAAGGCCCCGGGGGTCGAAAGTGAGCCGAGAGGGGATGCTTGAAGTGTAGGCCGGTGGGGGTTAGCTAGGACACGGTCTAGTTTCGACCGGACACGCCCGTTAGTCCGGGTGAAGTGCTGACCCCGTAAGTGAGATCGGTAAGGCCGAGGGTCCAAGCAACGGGAGCGGAAGTCCGATGTCTCGTAGGAGGAGACGTCACCCCCATTGTGCTTATGCGAAGGGGAGAGGACGGAGTTAAAATCACCCAAGACGATCCAAGGCCCATGGGTTTCCCAACGACGGAGATGCGCCCAAAGCTCTCGCCGCCGAACAATAGTGTGAAGACCATAGACAAAAGTCGCATGAAAAACCGATTGGAGGACCGGGCTCTTGAGGCGAACATGAATGCCTTGAGCCGAAGCCGCTAAAACATCAAGTTGGACTGTATCGGGATTCCAAAATAGGACAATGCGGCCATTCAATGTAGCCGAGGCGATAGAAGCGCAACCTCGACTCTTCGAGTGCATACGATGCGACTGCGAGATTTTGTGAAGGCTGAGCTTCGTCTCCAAAAGTGCACGAAACATCAAAACGTTCCTTTCTCGTGAGGCGGACAACCTCATGCTTGTTTTAGGGGACTATTGAGGCCCCTAACATTCCAAGAGAAGATGATCATAGGGCGGGTGACGGAGTGGAGCCCCCCTCCTTCTTCGACGAGAGCCTCGGCTGCGACCACGGGTGGAAGGCTGTTTGAACCCGGTCCGAACCTCATTGGAAAGCTGCTCGGCTCGGATAACCATTGCTTGCCATGTCCCCAGTCGACTACGTACGACTAACCTGTCGAGCCAACGTGCCCTTGTGAGTAACGGAGCCACCCTGCGTGGGCGAGGCGATCTCGCTCGGGCCGAACTACCGGCGAGGATGATGGAGTCGGCGGAGAGGAGCCAACCACGTGGCTTGGAACCGGCGATATCGGTAGAGCCGGGAAGGCCTACCACAGTGGTAAGGGCACGAGTGGAGGGAGGAGGTGCGGGAGCCTGCGGCCGAAGTAGAGCGGGTTGCGGCTGCCGAAATAACCCGGAGGGAGGTTGGCGACGGCGAGCATTCTGTGAGGCCTTACCCACAGCCTGGCGGTCACTAACACCCATTCGGCCTCGGAGCACATTGGGTACGTTGCAGCGGGCTACGGTGCGCTTGGCGCCACCGGGGGAGGCTTGCGCTGGCGTAGCCAAAGACAGACTTGCGCCGGCGCATCGGAAGGCGCGGCGACATCGGTAGGCCCCGGGGCAAGGGCGGGCTAGCGGCTTGGTGTAGGTGTATCGGTAGAAACCGGCGGAAAGGGCGGCTTGCATCGACTCAACGGCACACGGAGCCCCGTGATGGGAGGGTGGGGTTGCCCACAGCGCGGCCGTAACGAGCGGTGGCTGGGCTTCAGAATTGCGCTTGGCGCGAGTATGAGTGGAGTGCCCCGAGAATACGGCAAATTTTGCGGTGAGTGGGGAGAGTCTCATAGATGAGCTGGTTGGCGAAGCGTGGAGCCGTTCGGAAGCTCAATTGGGAGACTTCGCGGCAACTCCGCCATGATGTTCGGCTCGACTAAGATCCGGGCATATGATATCCGTTCCATGGAGGGCGTAAGGCGATCACATTGAATGGGCCTTCGAGTAAGGTGGCAATCTTGGAAAGACGGAGTAGAGACCAACATTGGAGCGGAAGATTGGGGAGCTTAACCCGGACGGGAACATTTGACATTTCGGCACTAGAGAAGTCGAAGAAGGCTGGCATAGGCTTGAGGAGGAGGGGTCGGCCATAGATCAAATAAGGGCCCCGATTCGGCACGGATAGTTGGGCCTCCGCGAAGCAAGCCGATACACTAACCGGCCGAGTCATGGACCAGATAAAGAGGCCTCACATTTCCAAGTGGTGTCAATAATCGCCTTTAATGCCGATAGCTCGGGGATTTACCCGCCACATAGCCAATGAGGCATTGTTTCCATATATCACATTGAGGATCATCATCAAGAAGTTTGCATGATTGTGAAGCGGTGATAGTACTAAAATGCGTAAGCTTAGGGCAAGCGAGCGGTGCTACGGTTACTAGCAAAGAGAGCCCTCCATTTTGCGGGAGGGGTTCGGATGTACTGGCTTTGCGAGAGGTAGCAAGAGGAGGCTGTCGAAGGCTTCCGGAGGTGTCCGAGGCGGAGGAGGAGCAAGAGCCGGGCGGGGAGGCGGGAGGGGCGGAGGAGGGTCCGGCGGCATACCCACGAGCGGGAGCCATGGGGCCGGACTGGCTATCCCCTTGGGCGGGAAGTTGAAAATTTGAAATATTGAGGGGGAAGCCGGGGGCACAGGCGCGGTCGGACCCGGGGGCGGGGGCGGCGGCTCTAGGGGCGATGAGGAGTGCGGTGGGGCCGACTGCTGCTGCGGTGGCCGGCTGGCGACGGGACGACAACAAGGTGGGTGACAGTTGGGACGATGGCTTAGGCGGGAGAAACGATTTGAAATGCGTGGGGCGGGAAGCCGGCTGGTGCGGCGGATCCGAGTCATCCTCCATGCGACGGAATCGGGAGCTATCTCCCCCTCACTAGAGCGAGTCTTCAAAGGGCGGGTAGTCGGGGAAAGCGGGAGGAACTGCGGCGTGAGCTCCGGCTGTCTGCGGCGGGGCCCGGTGCTGCTGCTATGAACGGGGTCGGTGGAAGAAGGATGGGAGGGAGCACCGGGCGGGGCGCTAAAGCCGAGATGGAGGCGGCGGACGGTGTCGCCCATGTGGGGGGAGGTTTTGGTGGCGGTTACGCTTTTTCTTGGCCATGGAGTTGCTTGGCGAGAAATGGCGAGGGGAGGAAACGGGAAAGAAGCGGGGAGAGAGAAGCGGGAGGTGGTAGAACCGGGGGCGAGAAGACGGCGGGGGACGGGGGGACGGAAGGGGACGGAGGCAAGGCGGGGGCGGGTGGCGGGAATGGGTCGGATGGGGGGAGGAAGACGATGAACGGTAGCCGAGCGGGAGGGAAGTGCACGCGAGGTGGAGAGCATCTCTCTCTACATTCTCTCTCACTCTTTGAGAGCTCTTTCGGTTCTATACGGAGAGCTCTTTCTTGATTCTATGGGTGGTGGTGCATGGCCGTTCTTAGTT